CCCTAGTCCTCTGCTCGGGCTTCGCCTCCAAACGAGGTTCTTCCATTGCTTCGACAATCGGCCGCGAATAATTCCTCCCAAACGGGTAAAGAAAACTTATGCCCAAAGAAAGCTTTCCAGTCTCTCGAGCTTGTGCTAGGCTGTTAATTATTGGAATCAAATAAAAAAACGGACGCGCGATAAAATGGCGAGAAAGTGGGCGCAGCAGTTTCAGTTGTCTACCAGAACGATTAAGTCTAACGACTCGGAGACTGAAAGTGTACTCTTCCTTGCACCTAGTAATAGAGGTGGGCATTTACTGAGTTCAACAGATTGTGTTAAGTAAGCGCGGGGTCTAAAAGTGCCGGCAAGCGAAACAAATATGGCGGCTCGATACAATCGCACGATTAATCTCATAAGAGGTGTGTACAAAACTTTTTGTGCCTGAAAAAGGCCGACACAACATCCGTGGAGCGTTCGGTCACTTCGTGAAGTATGTTGGCCCAGCATTATCATGTTATTTTTTGAGCAATAACTGAAAACCAATGTTGAATTTGATTATCATGATCGATTTCATTTCAAATACTATTTACAATGTATACTGAATCTTCATTTCGTTTATAATTTCACTTCTGTTTTAGAGTTAAAATTGATTTTCAAAGCAAAAATCAATCATAAAAGCAAGTTTGTTTTAAAATTTAATTCAAAAAGTATAATGCATTTGAAAAAAGAAAAAAAATCTTAAAAACTATCGAAGTAACAAAACAGAAAAAAAAATTGACTTCTCCGAACGGACCAACGTTATCATCCCACGCGGAAAGGACTGGGACTGGGCTTTGTTTTCGGCGAATGGCGAATGAGTGCTGATCGTGGATTGCGCTAATTATGGCCTCAAAAAGTGAATGGAAGGAGGACGATCAGTTGGAACAAGGCTTAAAAACATATGATAGTCAAAATCTAAAGAGATCAGAGGTTCTTGATTTTATGCAGCGAGATTTTCCCCAATATAATTGGAGTCTTGCTACCCTCGACAGACGTCTTCGTCAATTTGGCATTCATTACATATATTACGACACTCCACTTGCAGTAGTGTCAGATGCGGTGCAGAAAGAATTAGAGGGACCGGGACGACTTCTAGGTTACAGAGCATTGAATTAGAAGCTTAGAACAGAGCACAATGTTCAGGTACCACGTCATCTTGTTTACAACATGATTACTGAATTGGATCCTGAAGGACTCGAGGCAAGAAGCCTTCAAAGACGAAAGAAAAAGCCCAAGGGTCAGTTTACATCCGAAGGGCCTTTATGGGTGGCTTCCTTAGATGGACATGATAAACTATGTGGTTTTCAAAATTCCACCTTTCCTCTTGGTGTATACGGCTGTATTGACACCTTTTTCTCGCAAAATACTCTTCTTATTTGTGTGCCACTCAAACACAAATCCTTTAATTGTCGGCAAGATGTATCTTCGGTATCTATTCGAAACAGAGATGCTTCCGAGAAACCTCAGGGTTGACAGAGGAACGGAAACTGGTAAAATGGCCACAATTCACGTATATCTGTTAAACAAGCACGAAGTCATGAATGATCCCACTGATGCAATAATTTATGGCCCCTCAACAAGCAACAAGATCGAGAGATGGTGGCGTGAACTACATGAACGCTTAGAAAAGTTCTTCAGAGAACAATTGACTATGCTACTAAGGGGAAGAGAGTATGATCCACACAGTGCACTTGATAGACAACTGCTTGCCTATGTGTTTATACCAGTTGTTCAGCGCGAGTGTGAAATTTTTGTTAGGTACTGGAATTCTCACAGAATTCGAGTGCAAGATAAGTTAGAAATTCCAGCTGGGGTACCCGACTACATATTTTCTTTCCCTGGACATTATGGAGGCACCAACATGGGAGTCCCATTAAACAAGGATGAGTTGAGGGAGGTGGCCGAGTGGACAGGGGTAATGGATGGAGACGTCTTTGACGTTATTGAGCCAAGAAAGAGGAGAGAATGTCTGCAACTACTTTCAAATCCAGAAAGAGTAGAATCAAAGGATGCAATTGAAGCCTTTAAATTTCTTAAGAGAAATATCAAGTTCTCTTAACCCTTTAACTCCCCAGGATCTCATTAGTAATTCTCCATACTGTCTGTTATACAGTTCTTGTGTTGTTAGTTCGCAGAAATTGGTATTGGACCAACTTGTAACCCCCTAATTGATAATTTTCTTCATTCTTATCACTTGTATGCTTGATATTGTATAGATATTGTGAGGAGAAATTCTGTCTTGGTCATTCGTGGGAGTTAAAGGGTTAAGATGTGAGTGAAATCTCGCATATATTTTACTCTTTCTGGATTTGAAAGTGAAACTGATGGGCCACTATACAAGAAAACCGTGATAACCAGAAGCACTCACTAGAACAGGTTTTCATCTCTCAAAAAAAAGACAAGCTTTTTATTGCATTTTGGGTTTGAAACCCAACAATACTGCTTGCTATGAACAAACAGAGAGAAATTTGTTTGTACAGAACGTTCATTTTTAGTGTTTCTGTTAAAATGAAATCAGTCACAGCTTAACTGCACTGAAATTGACTTATTCAGGAAATGTTGAACTACCAACAGCATAGCCATTGAATGCTGAAAAAAATTAGCAAGTAAATTGGTTGTATTCTTTGAAATATTTAAAGTGGTGTCAGAAAACAGACAACATTTTGGGGCACCAGGACTAATAGTTCATTCCATTTTACTTCAAATATAGAATCAGTCTGAAGACTGGACACAACATGAAAAACAACGATGAGTTTAATTTATTTAAATTAGTGTAATCAGTACAAGTACAGTACAGTCAAGCAACAATTGAAACTGTGAGCTGACCATTTGATTATGTTTAAAAAAACCCAAAAAGTATTTTCACTTAAGTAACCTGAAAAGAGATCTTGAAAAAGAGTGGCAAATGTGACTACATGCTGGGAAAGTGGAATTGGTCACAATGATAGCAAATCACATAACACAAGCTTAATAGACTAAAACAGTCAAAATAATTTAAACAGCAACAAATGTAAAAAAACGATGCTTACAGGCTACAATGAACAATGCCAGCCATAAATAACCATAACCTATTAAGAACAAGAGTTTTTACGAGGTACAGGTCTTGTGCCAATTCGTTTTCCTCTATATGCTAACATAATATTACTTGGGGGCCTTTTGAGAGAGCAACAGTGGACAAAATCCAAATAGTGTCAAAATGGTAAATTCAGTTTTATGAAGAACAAGGAGGAAGGTGGTCAAATATGGAAGGGTTATGTTTTTTTTACCATTGGTTCTTTGATTGCAGTGGCTCAAAAGGGAGTGAAAACTTTTCTATAAACTGTGGCCAATTTTCACTAGTTGAATTCAAGGCCACTTGATAGCAAATTTTCTCAAGGCTGTATTACACTATATGCTCCAGTCCTTAACCTGTTAATTTCATCACAACCAGTGCATGGAAATTCAAATATCAAATACCATTTTCACCAAACACTTTCAGAGACATCATGTCACAGTACTTGTTACAAGAGTGTTTTGATTTGAATTCATCAATTGCGATACAGGAAAGGTTGCCAGCACAGAAGTTAACCTACTTTGAAACCAGTGATGCATCATTAACAAGAAGATCTGTTGTTGCAATTTCTGGATCGTACAACTTAAAAAAGGAACCCTGAATATCAAGCAGCATAAGCTTCTTTTCAGATATCTGATAGCTGTAATGCACAAGGCATTGTGCCTTTTCATAAACCTCATCAAACTCCACTGATGGGGAGGGGACGTGGAAACCATTGTTGTTTACGTATTTGTGAAATTCGCCTTGAACAAACTCTTCAATGGTAACTGGTTGCTTTTTAAACACAGCAAAAAAAACTTTGGCATACTCAAATGTACCACCAAATTCAGGTGGTACGTTTTTAGCAAATCGTTTGGTTAAGTGCCTTGCAACTGCACTCATTTGCACTTGCTTTCTTGTATGATCTTCTAATGACATACCCAGGTCATCCTTAATAGTCTTTACTGCTTCCTCCTGATACCGTTTAACCACCCATGCGGTTTGTGCGGCATCTTTACCGATGGTAGTAGCACGAAATGCATCTCTAAATGCCCCATGCGCAAATCTTGTTTCTTCAATTTCGAGTGTAAACACATTTAATCCACTTCATTTCTGCGACGTCAAAACTCTCCAGATCTAACACTGTGATATTTGTTGCTAGTGGCTTGACGAGTTTGCCAGCTTTCAGATGGTCAGTAATAGACACTGATTTGGGGAAGACCATGGAATGCAAGGTAGGCAGATTTCCAGACGTTTTCATTGGACTTGGTACGGACATCGTCACCTTAGCTGGTGCTAAACTATCCTAAAACAATTGCTGTCCTAGTTTTGGAGCGACATCAGTGGACTTCGGTGGAAGAAAACGAATAAAACAAACCTTTTTACCTTTGATCTGTTCGAGCTTGGTGCAGGAAGGTCCCCTGTCAGACACCAGAATATCGCATGAGCCCTCTGGAGCCTGATAATACTTCTCGCAGGCTTCTTTAATATTTGCGATCGTGAGATCATCATAGTCGCCGAAGGGAAGGAAGTCCCGAGTATCTAAGGGTTCAAACGTTTTAAGTCTGCCTGAAGCGGTGCTGGACATACGCTGCACAAGAATGTCGTTCGGTACTGCCTTGGCACTTGCTCCCTTCTTCCCTTCACCTGCACCCGATCGCTCCATGCCCACTCGTGCCTCGAAATCTTTCACCTTTCCTTTCCTTCTCTTCTCCGTTTCATTTCCAGTCGAAACCTATTATTTTCGCGAAGAGCCAACACCAATGCAACCAACAGAAGAAACAAACGGTATCCCCACTGACTATGAAGTTGCCATGGAAAATCTACCACAGGCCGCCATCTTAGAAAACAAGGCCCAGTCCTAGTCCTTTCCGCGTGGGATGATAACGCTGGTCCGTTCGGAGAAGTCAATTTTTTTTTATGTTTTGTTACTTCGATAGTTTTTAAGATTTTTTTTCTTTTTTCAAATGCATTATACTTTTTGAATTAAATTTTAAAACAAACTTGCTTTTATGATTGATTTTTGCTTTGAAAATCAATTTTAACTCTAAAACAGAAGTGAAATTATAAACGAAATGAAGATTCAGTATACATTGTAAATAGTATTTGAAATGAAATCGATCATGATAATCAAATTCAACATTGGTTTTCAGTTATTGCTGCAAAAAATAACATGATAATGCTGGGCCGCCATACCTTCTGCAACCCTTATTTTTTTTGGCTTTAAAATGAACGGCTGGGAAAATTTCACAAATTGTGAAAATTTTAAGAGATTTCACCTTGGCAATTTGAAAGTCAAATCAAAGGTAAGGTACATTATCACTGGCGAGCGCCTCCCTTCGTTGAGCCTTAGTTTTATAACGAAAATAATCTTGTTGATATTTACTACAGCAAACGATAGTCCGAACCTCGCTCATCGCCTTTTGATGGCTTTTTGTGTCCTTGAAAAGCATTAACATAAAAATTTCCTAGAAAACATAACGTCGGCGCGCACGTAAATATTGAGCAAAAACCTATGGAGCCTCCTTAACTTGCACGAAACTGTTTCGTCAAAAATGTACCGCAAGATGCTGGAAAGTTGAGGCACGTTATGAAAAGTAAGACCGCTCAGCCAATTTATTTTCTTCTAGTCTACCAAATTATTTCAATGGCCCATACCTTTTATGACTTTGGAATTCAAGAGCCATAGCCCGTGACAGTTTTGTCTACCCTACCGAAATGCCAATAGATCCCAAACAGTTTCACGTGAGAAAACAAAAACAGTTCCTGTTCTCTCCTCCCCCTTCCCTCGTTGTTGTACTGTTATTTCATTTTGATACTTTGGACCTTTTCGCTTCTTTGAAACTAAGGTCTGGTGCAACGCAGCCCAAGAATCACTGTCTGGATGGTAAATTTCAGCTCCCTATTTTTTCTTTTATGAATATGTTTTTTACGCATTCATTGCGAGTCCCATGTCGCACCTGTGCATACCACTTCTACGAATAAAGCTCAACGAGTACGCAATACCTCACTTCAATTTTTATTTCTCAGATCGCACCACAATGATGCAAGCAGACGATACTGAGTATCAGAAAGTATTCGCCACCCTTGACGAGCTCGACCTTGGCTCTTTGAAACCTGTTTTCAAAGAGAAACGCTTTCGGGTAACTTCTCACATTACTAATACCAAGGTCGTGGAACCCATCAATTAGGTCATGTTTTATTTTTCTGATAAATTTTTGGATCTTCGATGAGTAGTTGGGCGAATAGTTGCTAATGCAGACAAAACTTGTAGAGATGATAAGATGATTACAACTGATTGTTTTTGTTTGACTATCGTGCTGTAGTTTGCCTACCACTTGTTTTTTCTTCCGCAGTTGAGAAGCTTTGAATTTATGTTTTCTTTTCTCCTTCTTTTTTAGGATAAAACTTTATCATTTATAAAATCAGAGGGGGAATTAAAAGAAATCCTTAAAGAGGTAAAATATGACAGTATTTTTAGCACTCGTGATCACAACTATCATTCTGGCCCCGGTTGTTCAAAGGTCGGATAACGCTTTCCACTGGATAGATCTCCATCCGCTGGATAACGCTATACATTTTGCTAACACTTATCCGCTGGGTAGTGATTTATCCGTTGGGTAGTTTTATCCATCCTTTATACAACTGGGGCCTGGTTGGTTTCCCTGAGACTCTCCTTGGCTCAAAGTTAAAAGCCACAAAAAGGTTTTGAGTAAAAGAGGGTCGCACACGGCTCGTGTTGACACACCCCAACTATGGTTGCCTATTGCATGATAAATGTATTAAATTCGTTTGGGTGGGGTAGCGAATTAGAATATAAAAGATTTTTAACCGCCCAGTGTGGCCGAAATTCCGTGAGAATGAAAAAAGGTGTAGATTACGCAATACACAAGCCACTGTTACAGACACAGCCACGATGCACATGGGTCGAAAATAGGCACCAACTACTCGTGTACAAACACATAACAACTAACTCCAGGAATAATTCTTTTTTAGAGTTTGGATAGAATTTTGACCCTCGACCGAGAGCCTAAGTCACTTCGAACGACTTTCAATTGTAACGCTTCCAGCTCCTACTAAAATTTTTTTCATTAAAGTTTATGCAGTTTGCTGGTAATACCTTTGTACCAATGAAAGAAACACCTCTAAATTTTCAAACTTGCTCATATTTCCAAGTTCATTTAGCTACCATTTAGCTCTTATGCTAATGAATGAGCTGTTTGAAGAACGTCAAGCGAACAATCCGGTCCCTTCCAGATTTTCCAATAGAATTATTTGTGATCCCTTTGCTTCCGTTGGAATCATTAACGGAGCAGTACTCATCAGCTACAAAACAAATACATACATTTTCAATGTGAAATGTTCCAAGAAAGTTTCGACTCTGATACCGTTTATCTGCATGCTCGGTTTTGAGGATGAACCTTATTCAACTGAAAAGATGCACACAAATTTAGCTCAGTTAATGAATAAGTATAGGTAATCACATAATTTCGAGTGCAATTTGGAATAAATAAGCACGAGTAAATTTTTTTAAAGACCAACAAAATTGCACGAGCCCGTAGGGCGAGTGCAATTTGTGGTCTTTGAAAAAATTAACAAGTGTTTGTTTATTCCAAATTGCATGAGAAAAAACCTTGTGATTACGTGTTAATAATATATATGGAAAAATACCAGATAGCTTATCATAATTTAGCATAAGCAAAGCGCACGCATCAAGAGCAAAATAATTTACTCAAACCGTGCGTTCGGTTAAAACAACCGCATACGATCAAAAAAGTTCAAAGTCCGGCTAAACAGTTTAAGGAATTGTTCAGTCTGTGTCCGAATCACTTTCGGTGAAACGGAATCTTCGTTTCCGAGGTTTAACCATGTTTGTTTTTAATTTCGGCGTTGGATCGCTCGAGCAAAGTGTTCAGCTGGGTCGGCTCGTAATTTTCGATTACCTTGGCAGTTCCCTTCTCTAAACACCACTTTTTCCAAACCGACAACCAAAAAGCAGTGCATTTTACAGTGTTTTCGTTGTTTGAGCTGTTTTTCAGCTTCGGTGGCGAAAGAAAACCTTCTTAAAACGCCGGCCATTGTTTCGCTCGCAAATTTTCAAATTTTGTTGCGATATCCAAGGCTCGCATTTGATTGGCTATCTGTGTGTTTCTTTGATTATTGACCAACCAGAATGTCTGGTTTGTTACTTTCTTTGCACTGAATTAACCCTCGTCTGCATCGAATTACCTGAAAACTGCATTTATCTTTACCAATCAGAACTGAGCAATTTTTTCATGTATATTATTACGCACAAAATGGTCTGAAGGACTGTGACTTTTTAGGACGTTTGAATACATGATACATAACTTAATTTTGTTCACAACACGTGATCTAGTTTTGAGATGGAAAAAGCGGGCGGAAATGATTTGGTGTAATTTTGGGGTTTACTTTTCGGTTGTGTCGATAGTTTTGGTCCTTTTTGCCTCGAAATTATACACGCAATCAATAAATGGTTTAACTCGAAACCATAAAATGTCGCAGTTTAAACTGGACAAGCTATATTCTTACTCTCTTAGGAACTACAGTTACCCTTTGGCCAACGATTTGAATTCAGTTGCCTGTGGTTTCAAAAATTTCATGGGACAGAAGGTAAGATGGAACTTTTTTTTATCCATGATGGCTACACTGAATAGTGCGAAATTGGCTAATATGCACTCTCGCTGGGAGTGAGTGAGAGATCTTAAGATGTCTAATGAAACACACACGAGAATCAGTTCCACACACATTTTGAATAATTAGGCCACAGTTGACCCTGTCGATGCCTCGATATATACATTTATCTAAAACAGATTTTAAAATTGTATCTCCTGTTTTAGGAGAACAATTAAGCGAATTGCAATACAGTTTGCAACATGACTGGTTGATTCAATTTCACTTGAGCTAAATTTCATTAGACACGTCTGAGCATGTGCTTTAATCGAGGGGTGGACATTTTTTATCATTTCTTGTTCTCTGTTTGTATTCCGCCCTACTTCACTTTTTTCCCCGCTATCTTCCACCCATTATCACGTTTGGCGTACGCTTATCCATTACTAATTTGATATTTGACGAATGTCTTACATACCACTAGGATCAGGAATGTCAAAAGCGACGTGAGAGTGAAGAATGGAATAAGAAAAATGATACATTTGAGCTTTGTCGTTTAATTAAGAAAGACTATATGTTTTGTCACGAGTGTAACACAATGAAATAAATTCTGAGTCCTAGACAAGGAATCGAGCCTTGATCGGCTGATTTCACGCTATTAGGACGCTTCAAGGGTCAGAGGTGAACCTAATAACAGCCTAGTTCACTATCGAGTTCTTTGCTGCCCAGCGGTAAAGCCTCTGAGCGGTAACTCTTACGGTGTAGAGCTTGATTAACAGCGGGCCACTTAACTCCTTTCTTTGTCCTACCCGCGTGGCAAAAAATAATCATCACCTACCACTAAGAGTATACAAAATTCCGATTTTATCCACAACAGAAGGTGCGGCTGTCCAAGGAAGAAAAACCGTCGGAATAAAAAGTGATCAAAAACCAATTCCAGTTGAAAAGGGAAAAAAACCATCATCTGAAGCAATAGTCGATAGCTATAAGGTGGATGAACGAGAGAGAAGAAAGGAGATCTTTGCTGAGAGGGTCAATCTTACGAAAGAAGCGGCTGGCGCTTGCTTTGATAACACAGGTGCCTACCGTAAACCAAGGCAAGCATTTCTTGAGTTGCCGTCACTCGGAGACAGTAAAGAACTGTCAGCCAGTAATCATGGAGTTTTACAGCCAAGGAAGCCAAAGGAAGACAAACAAGTCGAAATACTCGAAAGCATCCCAGCAATTTTGAAAGGAGAGAAAAAGGCGGAGGATATTACGATAGGAGGTTGGATGAAACTTTGGCTTTAACGATCAAAAATTCTACAGTTCTACTTTGCTTTTTCATTTTCTCTACTTATTCATTTTTTTTCTTCCCTACTCTAGTAGCGTTCAGTTACAGAAAACAAACTGAATTAGACTGTTTAATTCGTCTCATAGAAATTATTTGTGTGTTGTCTGAGTATCGGTTCAATTTATTCATTATCCTTGATTACATACTTTTTAGCTGGTTTAGTATACGTTTTTACCGGGACATGAGTCCTTGGGCTTGTTTCTTCTGTTGTCGACAGTAAAAACGGATGCCTCCATTTTGATCCTACAGGAACCAGCAGTACAGAGAAGCTTAGTGAAAAAGACCTCGATTACAAAGAAGCATGCCAAAACGAAAGAGGGATAGGTAGTACCCCTCTAGAGGAAGAATGGATATCTTCTGACGAAGGATTCGGTGAAAAAAGCGGAGGGGTAAAGAAAAAAGATGTAAAAGCTCTTGAAAAGACAGAAAACAGTCAAGCTGCCATCAGTGAAGGGGATATAAAAATAGAAAAACGCCTTTCAAAAGGTATTTTGGCTTTGATTATACATACCCGTTGCTGTGGTTACCTTAAGGCCATGAAAATGAGGTCGTCGTTGAGCTATATCCTATTAATATCTTGAAAATTATAGCGGAGCTCGCAGAGCGTAGCCCCATAATCATGCAAAATAGTAGTAACCCATCAAGCCGAAAAAATTTGGATATACGACCGTAAGAGCGACAGACCGACCGACCGACCGTACAAGGTGCTACTTTTAGCATGCGCGGCCAACTGTACCACGAGCACTATCTTATAATCAGCCCTTTACACGCACAAGGAGAAGTTGCGAATGAAAATCCATTAATATTACCACGCACTTTATCCATAGTAGGGGCTTTAGTTTTGTTGAAGAGACGTGCGGGAAAAAAATGCGAGCCCCGCTTTTAGGCTTGCCTAAACCTATATATTATTTAGATATAATTCGATTGACAGACTTGTGGGAGTTCTTTGTAGCTTATAGCCTTAGCAATAATCGCAAAGTGGAACATCTTTTATGTGACGCACCTCTCTTTACTAATAATCATTAGGTCACCTTGAAGTTTGAATTTATGTTCAGGACACTTAAGAATCCTGGAAGAGGTCACCTGCAGTGTTAAGAGCATTTTTTAAAACTCTCTATAAAGTAGTATTTTCCTCGTAACTCACTGAGGTCACCACAGCATAAAAAAGAAAAAAGACGATTATGAAATTCTTTCAGGGCTTAAAATGATGTTGGAGTGTGTTTTGCACATTCATCTTCTCAGATCCGGAGATTGATGACACGCGTCGCTAGCTATGTTTAAATACCATTCTTGGAAAACATTTTTTATCTTTATAGAATGATCTGAATCATCAATTATGAAAAGTATTTTGCAGTGATGCGTAAGATTAAAATTCAGTGTATCTTCCACAGGTCAAGCGCTAGATCAAGCGCAAGATCATGTCAGTGAGGTCATTTCATTTGAAGGTGGAGACAAATTTTTGACAGCCGATCCAACACCAAATCTGATGGATCGTCCAGGTGATTCTGCTGTTTTACACTAGGCGTATGTCGATTTAGTTTCGTAAAACCAAAAGCGGAATAAAGTAAAATCTAACATGGAGCGTACGAGAAACAGATGAAACAAACAAACAAAAAAAATCAAGCAAACTGCGTGAAATGCGCATAAACGGAGTTAACCAACAGCAGGATAGGGAAAATCAATGCAATCCCTGATTAATTTCAGCAAATGATTGTAATTTTCTTGTTTTTTGGGGGGGGCTCATATACACCTAAAAAAAAAAGTTGAAAGCAATAGGTCATGGAAACGGTGTATCTTCTTCCCCTTCTCTCCCCACAGTTTTGAGGCGGTCAACTCATTATTTCTTTACCCTAAAATTAATCAATATCTTCGTAAGATACTCGACACCCTTTTTTTTGTTTCGAATCTTCTAGTCGTCGCCTGCCACCGTGTACAAAAACTCTCGTCTGTCGATGCTAGCGATCAAGAAATCTGGACTGATGAAAGTGAAACTATTCACGGCGAAGACCCTTTGGCTAACGAATATGATGGCCAGAAAGGTGACGCAGAGGTTGTACCCAAAGATATACCTCTTCACGAAAGAGGTGTGGATGCTGAATTTGGGGAAGGGGATAACAACTCCAACAACCCTTTGGAATCTAGTTCGCAGAGTAAAAGCAAAAAGAAGAAGAAGAAGAAGAAAAAAAAGAAGGAGCAGAATGCCTCTGAAGAGACGGGAAGCCAAACAATCGATCAAAGCGTGAACAAGGACGAAGAAGAGAAAGCAGGCGATATAAGTCTCCATGAAGGTATTGCTAGTAATCAAATTGCCACCAGTATTCCCTTTTTCCCATTCTCTGCTTAGTTTTTCATGAAATCGATTAGCTAGGCCGAATCTTATTGGACACCAAAAGGAGGTTCTGAGTTGGAATGTTAACTTGAAGCAATCCTTATTGATATTGCTCGTTGCTAGTTGCGCTCTCAAACAACACAGTCAAATACAAAAAACAAACTGAACGGGATAACATTGATAGTTAAGGCATGAGAAAGCCTCGTGGACTCGTTGATCAGCTGACGAAGCACTTGTTTTAAAAACAATAAAAGGAATTAGCTTCTCTCAACCCGAACACAACTCAGGAGGTACTGATAAACAGTTAAAACATTTGTTATCTCCAGATGCACAGTATGGATCGTGAATTCCACGTCAATTCTGTGTTACCTTCAGTAGCAGCTATTTACTTGAAATTAACTCCATTTTGGAGCAGTGAATTGTCCGAGCTGAATAGGATAATCAAAGGCTCATGACTGGTAGTAGACTCAGCCGATGTATTTTACCATACGGTCATCATTCAAGAGAGAATGTGCAAACTATGAATGATCGTGACTGTAACACCTCATGAGTCGTTAACATGAGCAACATAAGAGTAACGTTATCATAGAACTGTATATTTAGTGACAGTTACGCATGGTTTCGGCAGTATTAGGGGAATATTCGGATTGTATCATAGAAGCAAATGTTATCCATACAAAAATTGATTTAATTTAGATTCAATACAAGCATTACTGGAACTTCACTTAGGTAAAGGAATAACCAAAATCTGCTACATCTGAGAGCCAAGTTTCTCCCATTTCTTTAACTGAAGAAGTACTCACGCCTTATCGTTTAGTTACATCATCTTAAGTCATATAAACTGTGCGAAGTGCTGGAAGAGGTTACAATTTGCGATTTGTCAGATCTATCATTTACTGAAAACGAAGGCTGAGGCAAATAATTTATATGAGAGAAATTTTTAATTCAATAGTCATATCACCACTCGATTGCTACGTTTGTTTTTCAAAATTTAATTTCGTGAGTCACTCTCTGGCAACGTCCGAGAGAGATCTGCTATTTCTCCAGAAAGGCACGTGGACACAACAACACATTCACAGCCATGCTATTATTTAGAGCAAAGTAGTATTATTTGGTCCGCTCCCAGTCAACGAAACGGAGAAAAACGATAAATCGAAACATGGCGACGCGCTCGACCTAGAAGCACAATCTTTATTCCCGATTGTGAATCTTGTAATAATCTTAAAGCGAAAAAATTTAATTTCACGCGCATTACCCACGTGATTTTATAGGTTACTCGTATATATATGTATTTACTAATATGTCACGCTTATGTAATCGAATGCTATCTTAGTGAATCCTACTGAATAGAATGAACCAACAGTATTGTTGGACGTCTCGCACACATTGGTAAAAATTAAAGCCGGTTGCCATCTAAGATCAACTCTATATTATACTCAGATGGCGACTAACACCGTGTTTTACTAGTTTAGGACCTAAATTGCCGTTAAAAAATCATAAAATGTTTGAAAATCGTGTGTTGTTGCTAGTCAGCGCCCTCCTGTCAAACAAGATTCCAAATATTCTCACATCTTAAGGTGTTTGAATGCTTAACAGTTATTGAACGAGACCTAGAACAATGAGGCAATTTGTCAAAGGCGAATTAATCAATCGTTTGCCGAAGCCATAGGATGAAATTTACAAATCAAGATATTTTGCCACAGCCTATTTTATTTTTTTCATTTTTATTTTCTCTGGCTGTTTAGAGGAAAAAGCATAGACACAGTTACGCATGAGCAGAATGTTATTTGCTCTAATTTTAACTATTGTTCGATAAGTAGACCATGATTGGTAGTCAGTTACTCTCAAGTTTCATGGTGGGCTCCAGGGCAACGACAAAGGAGAGACCGAAGGAATAAAGGAATCGCGCTTTTTTGAGAGAGCAAATTTTTATCATATCCGATCGACTTGGAATAGTCATAACAAGTTGTAATACTAAATCAGCCTTTAACATTTTGCAATCATGTAGGTCAGCCAACATGTGCACCTCAAGATCTCCAGCATACATCACCAAAGGAATCTACAGTATCTAAAAATAAAATTGGTCCAGCTGAAACGGGTGATCTCGAGGAAGAGAGCATATATTCCGGGCACACTACAGAAGAAAGTCAAAAAGAAAATAACCTTTCGTTTTTCGAAGCCACAAAGAAGAAAAAGGGACTGGAGGAAGATGCAAGTGTCCGTAAGAGTCCTAAAGAGGTGCAAACTTCGCAGGCAACATTCCAGGAAGGAGCCTCCAAACCGAAACAGCAAGACAAGCGCAATGAATTGTCCATGCAAACAGCCGGGAAAGAAAAAGAAACAAGTTCATGTGACACAACAGAAACAGAAACAGAAACGACTTTCTGCAGAGATTTGCCGCTTAAAAAGTCAGCCTCCTCAACTACAGAACAGGGAAAGATGAAGCAGGGCCCACCCAATGAGAAACTTATGAATCAGGCTCATGAACCAGGGAAACATCACGCAGGTGGAGAGGGAGACCAGGAAAACGACTCCAGGAAAATTGTCATCTGTAAGTAACCTTTTAAGTGATGTTGTAGATCCGTAGTTATTTCCTAGCAAGCAACATTTTTACGTGGATTCGTGAATGGAAGTCTGGGAGTTGTTCGGAGTTATGACTCTGAGACTTGCAAGGGAAAAAGAATTTCATAAGAAAGCCTGTTGCAAACAAAAACTTTTGAGGTAACTATTATTTTGATTTTCCTGGTTTTGGTAGGTAACCCTAGGCCTTTCGGAGCGACAGGAAAAGAGTACGTCTATGAAAAGGGATCTGTCTTTGGTGTTGAAGAAAATAGAGAAATTGAGTTCAAGTCACTTGTAAAGGCCCATATTGATTCTCTTCCTTGGAAAATAATGGAAAAGGCGAAGAAGTTTATCTGCGCTTGCTTGAATAGCGACCGGAAAGGCATTATATACTTTGGTGTTGGAGACAGTCAAGAGCAAGGATCAAGGTACAAGCATGGCGAAATCGTGGGGCTTGATGTCACCGACATCAAAGATGACATCAATAAAGCCTTCCAATTCGTCTTGGATGACCACATTAAAAGCGATGAAGGACCGCTCCAGAAAGGCGGAGAACAAAACTGTATCACTCTTCACTTCGTTCCTGTGAGGATTCAAGGAAACAGCCCTAACCTGTTCGTCATAGAAATAGAGGTAGCGAGAGACTGGCGATTGTGTAAGGATAAAGTTTATTATTCAAAAACCTGGGTCCAGAAACGCGACAAAGACTGCGCTGGAAAGAAGGCATTGGATGACTATTTCAAAGTGAAAGGCGATTTGTTTGATGACGTAGCAATTCGTACCAATGGAGCATCTAGCAGTGTGAAGCAGTTAGAAGTCGACAGACAGGTGAAGAAACCACTCCAAGTAAAATACAAGGAATGGAGAAAGAAGGAAAAGCAAGGTTAGGACTCGCATGATGACGTCATCTTGCTAGTACTAAAAAATTAGATATCGTTATCCTTTTGACTCAAGTATTCTGAAGAGTTCAGTGAACATCGAACTTTAAAGCCCTCTAGCTTCAAAAGAAGTGACAGGTTTTGGTTTGTAACATCTTTTTTCAATCACAGCAACGCTCTCCCAGTACAATTCAGTCTCAATACATGAATATTCAACTTTGCTCTTGGTCATATCAGTTTTGCTTTTTCATTGACCAGAAACTTAACTGTAATCATCAGTTGTATTAAAGAACTTTGATGTTGAATTAATTGTTTTGTTTTGTTTTTTACTATTATTATTTCAGGTGCCGGCGGATTATACGAAGGTGAGCCAGTCTCATATATAGAGGATATTACATGGCCGCTGTAATATCCATGTAATAATACATGGCCGATGCGGCCATCATCATGGCCACATCATCAAGATACTTTCAGCACTCGAATATAAAATTCGCATCTCCAAGCGGCCATGTAATGTTCTGTTTATTTTATTTATACTGATGAAATTTCAAAAGACCAGGCTGCACGCCTGAGCGGGAAACTCTCTCGTAATTGGCTAATCATGTTAATGACCATGGCGACACCAATATCCTCACACGTGAAAGATAAAAATAGTGTCTTCGCTGCGCGCGATGAAGATATGATTTTTTAGTAAAAGGAAAAATTCTGGTATTTCATCAGTACCTACACAATAAAGTTGTTGTCGTGTCATCCTTCTGATGCGATTCCTATTTCATTAGGGCCGAACACATATGGGTCAGCAGTCGGATTTCTGATGCGATTCCTATTTCATTAGGGCCGAACACATATGGGTCAGCAGTCGGATGGGCTACCTTAGGAAAATACATTGTTATTCGCATTATAGGAGTCAGTGATACTTTCTTTATTAGGAAAATTAAAAAGAATTAAATTAAATAAATTTTGTTTCAGCACAACATAGTCTCGAGGAAGCTGACGCAAAAAGATTCAGTATCGATGTGCGAGAGAGATTACGTGAACTGAACTATAAGGATAATGGCTACATACTTGTCGCAAATAAGCTGCCTGCCCTGTACAGAGGATCACCTCAATTATCCTTTCTGCAAAACATTCCTTGGGTTGCTGTGTTTGACTTATTCGACCCGGCATCTAAAGTAGACGGCCTACACTATGCTTGTAATGAGACAACTGACGCAGTACGCGCGACAATTTATACCCTTGATGACTTCAAAGAAGTGACACCCGATAAAGATGCTCTCATTTCGACTCGAGGAACCACCTGGATTCTCAGTAATGAAGAAATGCAGAAAGGAAATTGGATAAAGTGTTCCAAGGATTGTCTGTACCGAGCTTTATCAGCTTACAAAGAATGCTTTCTTCCGGGGAAGCTTGTGTGCATTTTTCTTTGTCTCGCTGAGAATGCAGTTCCCGAGATGGCAGATATTATGGAAAGCAGTTTCAGCATTTTTGGAAACTCGGCAAGTAGTTGCGTTACCATTCTTAGTGAAACCGCTGAAGTGGCAGAGGCATTCATCGAAGCCTCTAAACCTGCACTTCGGCGAGAACTGAAGGATTGCTCTATAACCGGTATTCCCTGGAGCTTATTGAAGGAAATCGTCCGCGAAATGGTCGGGCCTTCCAAGTTTGAGGAACCTGGAGCAAAAACAGAACTTCCGTATTTCACTGGACAAAGCAAAGCGGTTTTTAACAAAATCATCAACTCTTGGAATGATTTAGAAGTATATAGCCCAAATCCTCGGTTGTCCATGTTCGCAGAGGCCATTGAAAGGGAGCGGGATGCATTTTATAAAGGCGCTCAGGCCAGTCAGATTAATCTAATGCAAAACCATACCATTGCTCGAAGTCTTGAAAAAGAGGTAACTGCTAAAGTTGATAAGGCGCTGAAGTCTTTGTCTAAAGAAAACATGGATGCCAACTACTACGTGAAGACTGTAACCGTTCCCTACGAGCCAGGATCTGGTGCTACTACTCTTTGCCGTAGGATCCTTTGGAACAAAAGAGAGGAATATCGTTGCGCTGTGGTAAAAGCCATAACACCTTCTACGGACTTTCAAATTGACAACTTCCAGCGAATTGCATATGACGAGAAGAATTCAAACTATTCACTTCCTGTACTTGTTCTTGTTGACAACTTTCCAGAGAATGATGTCCGTCATTTGACAGATCAAATCATGAAAAGAAGGGCAAAATGTGTTGTGCTAACCACGCTGCCAATCCTGAAATCAGAAACTAATACACAGTTTGAGATAACACCCTTACGAAAGCTCAACGACACGGAGACGAGTCTTGTCAAAGACATTTTGATTAATATTATGAGCGACAGCCAGAAAAGAAGGGAGGCTGAGGAAGTCCTGGAGAGAGAAAAAAGGTTCATTTGGTTTGGTTTGGAACTTTTTGGACGAGACTACGTTAAAATAGAAGAGAGGCTTAAAAAACACATTCATAGTATCCTAATGGCTTTCCTGGGTGACTCACAGAGGATGCATAAATCGGTCCTAGAAATGTGTTGTTTCCTCAACAAATACAGTGATGGTTGTGTTATCCTACCTCACGCAGTTGCACTAGACTCTTTGCACGATACAAGTGCAGACAAACAAAGCTCAGGGATTAACGAAATCCATGAAGTATTTGGAGGACTGCTCCTTGAGGAACAGAACGAAACCAATGGATATTATGGTTGGCGCCCCGCACATCCTCTTGTTAGCGATGTGGTTACATCAGGGATAAGTATCGAAGAGACAGCTATACGTTGTCTTGAACAAGCTTGCAGTGGAAAGGCATACGTGATGAAGTTTCTAAGACGTCAAATTTTCCGACTGTATCTAGATCGAAAAAGATTGTCCGATCCTGTCTTCGTAGAAGACCAAGCCTTAGACGATGGCGCAGTCGGTGCTGATTTAGAGAACGAAGTCTTCGGGTTTCACGGTAAACGCACCCGGTATTCGCCTGTCATCGTGGACATCATGGATAAAGAAGAAAACATTGAAGGGGCTCTTAGGGTTCTTCTAACCATCTGTGAGAAGGCCACACAAATCGAGGATAAGGCTTACGCGTGGCAACAGTTAGCACGATTTATAGGGTACGAATTGCGTGCCAACGAAATGGACGAAACCAACGAGCTAAATAAGCGACTTCACCACACTATGACGGAAATAAAACAAATCAAGGTAGCCATACCACGAACCGGAATCGATGCTGCCCACATGGCAGTGGATATTGCTGTCTCCCTTCAGCCCAGTTACACCAACCATTACACCACCAAAGGTGTTCTTTACTTTCATCAATTAAGGGATTTCAAGACCAAGACGCCTTTACTTCGAGCTCTTCCAGACGCCGTCGAAATATGCCGCAAAGCGTTGGGCGTATACCATAAAGCGCTCGAGACCTCACGTGAACCTAACCATTTCTCAATGATTGGTAAGATCCAAGCCAATGTCTCCCTCCTGGAAATTGTTAAGGATCTACCCTGCTTTAACTCCGATGAGGGAAAGTTTACGATGTACTTAGAGAGAAGAACTGTTCCTCATGAATTAGAGAACGCCCTTTCCCCGGAAGACCGCGACTACGTACAGAGACTTGGAACCACCACACTCGACTTATTGAACGAGCTTTTCGGACATGTGAAGCTTAAACAAACAACTACCTATGATGAAAATGAGGGAAGGGGTCTTAACAATGCAAAGATTAGGGCTTCCAATCTACGTCGAAAATTTTATGAGATTACAGGATTCGACAAAAAGGAGTTAAGCAGTGATGACAACTCACTACTCCTCTCCCTCTCACCAAAACAACCGCCTGCGGTTTATCAGCAGAACGTTCAAGACATTCTCTTCATGAAAGACGAAACACCTTACAGCGCATGGTCAAACCTGACTGATGGAGAAATAATCAAAATCTACTTTCTGCTGAGGCCTCTTTGTCTTCGTGGGCAAGGAAGCTATAATGACATGTTGATTTGCTCCAAGGCAGGTCTTCAACTTAAAGAGAAACCTTCAGTTCAAGAGCTTGACAACATCGTTAGCGAGTGGGTACGGAAGTATCCAAATTCAGAATGGGCCCATCTTTTCTACTATATGATTCACTTTCCAATCCCAAATGCATCTCTTGCACCTTGTAATGCAGCAGCGAGGGAATCTGTCAAAAAGTGTGGCAGGATTGTTCGAGAAAAAGCAGGTTCAGGATTTCGGAAATCCGGTGCTGAGTACTTTCTTGGTAAAGGGATTGGCCTCAACGCCATTCTAAGTAGCCAGGAGTTTCGGTGGCTAGAAACCAAATGGAAAACCAAGACGGATTTTTGGCGAGGCAAGGAACCTTCTGAGAGGTTGGAACGCGTGCAAGGTCGGAAAGAGGTCGGCAGTAAAGGCATTATTTCGTACCAAGGAATTCAACTGCACTTTGATAACACACTTTATCCCAACGAAAGCAAGGACGATCTCTGGTTTTACGTTGGTTTCACACTCGCTGGGCCCTATGCATATGATCCAGTCGACAAGGACAAATACACTAGTTTGAAAAGACAAATAGGGAGTACCACACCCATGACAACATCCCATCCAATACCTGAAAGGTTTGACAACAGAGACAGATGGAGCCTTCCTCGACACTTTGTTGCTGGCAAAAAAACGAACAAAACCTCATCAGATTTACCTCAAGGAAACATCGGTGCCATCCAAAGTGAGCGGACTTACACCCCTCCTGTTTCACGAACTCGAAGACATGACAGAGATTTTTATTCCAAGGTGAGATCCGATGATGTTTCGGAATGGGGCCCAGACGTCTCAGATGTCCCTGTTAATTCTTATTTGCCTGAGGCAAAACGAAACACAGACTGGAGTATGTCAGCGTTCGCTTCGGGAAAGGAAGAGGCAAATCAGCAGAAACATTCTTTGGCAGCAAGAAGCCGAACTAAACAGGAACGAGCTAAATGGAAATCGGTAATAGGAACTAAGGGTAACGAGAAGAGAGAGTTTTCCCCCAAAAGCGTAGATGTAGATGGAAAACTCCATCATGGAGCTTTTGTTCTTGGACTTCCAAAGTCGCAAGAGTGCACACGTCACAACTCCACGGAGGAAACCCATTTCATCAGAGGCTGTAATTTTGCACATGGCTGGATAGGAGATACTCTACAGTTTGTCTGCACCAAGTGTACAGATGAGAACAGGAAGTTTTGCAAAGAAAAGGTCAGCCATAAAGAGTACATCTGGAATCTTGGCCCGTACCGAACCAGCAGTGGCGAGATCTGGAGAAAGAAAAAGGATCCGGTAATGGAACAAGCATCGGAGATAGTTTTTGAAGATCCATCAGAGGCCAAACCTGTGCTGTTAGATGATCCCTGGGGTTCCACTAATGATTGGGGAGCGCCCCTTCTCGAATGGGGTGAAGAAGTTGATGACCATGATGATGGTGATCATGACGATGAGGGAAACAAGGAGAACGGCGCAGAGGCGTCAGACCTGTGGATGACGCTTGGGCCCAATAGATTCAGCGCCTTATCGGAATGATTTAATGAAGAAGCTGTGTTTTGAAAAACGGAAGGACTCTTCAAATGTTGCAGCTAGGAGAGATTGAAACTGTTTTATTCTCCAACAGCGTAAAGTACTAATTATGATTACGAGACTCTTTCCTTCCATTTGAAGATGATTTCTCCAACTTAATCAAGATCGTTAGGTTATTCGTCATCACAAGGACGAAAGCAACTCTTCGAAAAGTTTATTCTAAAGAAAATTTGAATTAGTCTTTAGACAAGCTGCAGATAAGTCTTGGACTGGAGAGCGGTAACACTTTGTGTCCTTTTCTCCAAAGAATCAAATGTTTTATACGTGCATAATTCCAATTTAACAGTGATGGCCAAAATGTCATCCACATAATCGCTATGTTGCTCCAAGTTGCCTTGATTAGTTCTAACTTTCTTACGACAATGATTACTATGCTTCTTTCGTACCTTAAAATTTTCGCCATATGTCTTTGTTTTCGGCTTCGAAGTTTGTGACAACTCGAACTTGGCAATGATCTACGTGACATGGATGTTAGCCATTATTGTCGGTTCTAGCGAAGCGTGCCCAAATAGGATGTTGTACGCTGTCCTTCCTATCAAGTTGACAAATGAGCACTAAGGTTCAGCGCTCGCATCTTCGATTAATATCGAAAAAAATTGTCCTTCGTCTTAGTGAATTGTAATAACTTTAAACCCGTCATTGTCATTTGTCGTAAGCTGTACTCTCTTCTGATAAGGAGGCGACTTCTTGCAGATCACCTTGTGTCGTATGAGGCTCTCTTAAATTTACTATGATTAATTATCCGCTCTTCCTTCTGGTTTTAAAGAGGTTGCCATCGTGTTGTTCCTGGGTGTAGTTATGTAGTTGTCAATCAATATACTTTGCTTTGCCAGAGTTCAGGACGTGGGTGCGGGCCAAGGTGTAATATTTCGATTATATTCCTTGATTGTGTTTGCATAGGCGTTCTACCCTCACCAGTATAACTATACAACAATTGTAGGCCGGCCGGAATCGTGTGAGACACGTGATCTTGTTCAGTCATACCAGCAGCGTAATTCTATTCTTCTTTCATTTTTTTCCTTAATCTAATTGTAACGCACACCTTACCTTCTCATTTCTGTGGTTACTGCCTCTTGTAGGAGGCGAAGCCACATACGCTATCGAAATGAGTGAGTGAGTGGGTAAGTGACGGTAGGTAACAATCGAAAGCCGAACACTTCAAAATAATTTCACGATGACTTCTTCTGCCCGAAATTGAAAACAAGACTTTTCCTTGCATAAATATTTTAATAGGTGCGATGTACACATCGTGGAAACTTTGAAGACAAATTTTACTTATTCAAAGAGAGAATTTTACCATTTTAATCAGCGACTAATGCCCAAAAGAGCCGTTAAATTTGCGAAGCGAGAAAGATACGGAATTTAACATGGTAACCATATTGGACAAATGATGGGACGACGGAATGGAAGAATATCCTAGAACGCGGCATGCCTTGTTGTATGGAACAAAAGTCTCACAAAAATAGAATTTCAATGAAATGAGAAAATTAGTTATAATTAATAGGTAAAATTAAAAGAATCATAGTTTAATCATTATTGGAGCCTAGAGGATAGACCAAGAACAGTGAGGTTCTTAAGCTAAACCCTACAAATTATCATTACTATTATTATTGTTATTATTACTATTATTATAATTATTGTCGATATGATTGTTTGTGGCCATCTAATTATTGGTTGAATTTCAATCTTCTCTTGTGGAACAGGGTACTCGTAAATATGTGGGATGCGGCAGGTTTTTGTGCTATATCAGTAGCCACATGGAGTCTCAGAATGTTTTTCTCTTAAAGTTGTCGATTGTAAAGTGGAAATTTTTACTCTTAAGAAGCTTTGAAAATGTAGGAATCCTGACTTGAAAGGCTCCACTTTAACTTTTGGGGAATGTTTTCCTTTATTAGCGACAAATCAAGTCTTACTGAACGTCGGCCAAAACTAGCAATGTATATCCAATAGTCTCAATCAATAGCTCAAGTGTTTCCGCCCTGTTTTTGCTGCTAATGCGCCTTCTGATTATCAGAAAAGAAACAAGGGAAACTCACAAGCATTGAACTACTCTTGAGCTACGAGTCGAAGATGTAGTATTTGTAATCGGCTTTACGTCGAGGCGAATCCACAAGATGAGACAATTTAAATTTAAATTTTGAAATCAACTTGAAGACAATTTTATTACAATCGCCTGATGGACGGCTTATAATTACACATGTAACACAAGTGGTCAGAGATATCTACATGTAACTCCAAAATACTGTCTAACTTAACAAGTGTGATAGGGCAAAACCAAAAACGGCAAAAGAATAAACAAGTAGTATAAAGGACAGAATTAACTTCCTTTTTCGGGCTGGTCAATTAGAAAAGACTTATCATTTTAACAGAAGCGTTTTAAATTACATTTGCTGTATGGCTCTCCGATTATGTTTTCTTTTTCACTTGCAAAGTGCTTAAGCACGGGAGACTAAGATATGATTATTTTTAGCGCCCAGGGACATCCTTACATTCCCAGAATCAATGCTGCGTTTCCTTCATGTTGAACGAAGGCTTTCAAGAAGACTTGTGAGTCTTTGATTTTATTTCTGCAGTTCTTTCTTGTGCTCCTTTAACAGCTGCAACTTAAAATTCGGTGTGGAAGAACTTGGTGTCTTGTTTTTCAGCCACTGGTTAAAGGGGAACCAAATATCCGCACACTAGATCTGTATCCATACCAAGGAGGACATCTGATAAGAAAACGGCGTTTAACAACAATGAAATTTTCACCCACAGTTTGTTGACTTAATATTTTGCTTTTAAGCATAGTACAGCAACAGCAATAGCTGGCTTAGTTTGTGCACAGATGTACCAAGCCAGACAACTTAAGACAACTCAAGACAACCGAACACCCCTCAGATCACTTCAATCAATGACGAGCTCAACGCGACGGAGAACTTTTTCTTTTAAGAATTAATTTTGACGATGCAGAGAATTCATTGACTAAAGATTTGCGATGAGTGATTAGGAAAATCAACTTTTAATTGAATTACATTGAGCGAAATAACTTAGTCTTGATGAAACTTATTGTACGTTACCTTTGATCGTCATAGTCTGGGCTTGGAATTGTAGATTTTGTCTTTCTGAAAGAAACAAGAAGATTATAGTTTTCACAATACAATACTAATGAGTGACACTGTAACAAAAACAGGACAGCTGCCTAGCCTTGGACACCTAGCCAAGAGGGCACTCTTTTGGTTTCGCGCCCATTTTCGCTTTTCAGACGATCGAAACCATAGCAAGAACACCGGTTGCAATACGTCAGGTTTCTTGGTAAAATTCGGTGAGCGAGATTCAGTTCTTGCAGCTTCTAGGGAGTCCAAATACCTATAAGTGTCAGAAAAGGACATAAAGAAATAGGGATTTCTAATGGTTAACACTAAACGAAGTAAATCCTTTGGGTCTAGAGAACATCCAATTACTGATCGTTGTCTCTGATCACTGAGAGAACGCCATACGAAAGGTGCTGTTTCTTGCTACCAGAAATCGGTTTTACATCAACTTTATGGGTTAGGGGAAGAAAAAGCGCCGATCGGTTATGATGCATTACAACATATAGGTTAACTCAGCACTTTAAAGAAGTGGTCCGTAAGGTAACAGAGGTTTCCTCGATCATTGAGGTGTGAAGTGATTAGGAGTGTTGCTCCCCTTTCTGAATGAGATGTTACTCCATAGCAAATTACCCCCACCCCAACAATTTTGTCAAGCTTCGTGAAAGTTCGCTTCCAATTTCTTAAACTGCTAGTAGGAAAGATACAGCGGAGGAATTTAGTGCCAGGCCCAAGAATACGACACGATGACTGGGCCAGGTTTCGAACCAGGACCCCTCGACCTGCAGTCAGGCGCTAATTAATCAGCATGCCGTTAGGTGTCTAACCGAAAAATTTTACTTCAAACTATACACTAACCTCTCTTAGTTCTCCAATTTGATATTTAGAGAGAATCTTTAGAGCTTCAAACGAGTGGCCTATGTCTTGGAATACAGTTGTAGCATCCATACCTGGAATGAACAGGCAAAGGCTGGCGATAGTTCAGTTCCCTTCCATGTGGCGTAATATAACAACTGTCCTGAGTCAGACTAGTCTGAACACGCAAAGAACGAATTTACAACTACCGAATAAAGTTTTGTTGGTTTTTTGAGCCTCATCGATATGCTATCCAAAAAATAACCACTTTCTAAAGATCGTTTTCATCCCGGTTTCACATCATGTAAACTTCAAAGATTTCAAAGAGATTTTGCCGTTCTTGCTAAATGGTGACAATTTCCGGCTTGAAAAGGCAAACTATGGACTTAACACATCTTAATTCCGCAGAATATTGCAGCTTAAGCAGCTGTTTGCTTTGATTTTCTACCAACTCACCTGCGTGTTCTAGAATGATCTCCCTTCCGCCTGGATGCTGAAGAAGACCGAAAATAAATTACCAAGCTCAAAAAAAAAGATAATTAAGTTTATATCCAAGGATGTATGTAGGTCAGATTTACCGAAAAGCTTACTTTTAGTGTGAAATAATACAGTTTGATTACCCAACTGGTCTGAGGTTGCAAGACGAATTTCTGTCTCTCCATATGGGAAGTATTACCACGGTCATCGAGGTCAATAAATCGCAACATTTCAAGCTACATCGCGTTAATGGAAAAAACAATTTCCAGCCTGGTTAACGAGACGTAATCAGTCGCGTTTAGTGAGTCAGCTGAGACTCATTTTTGAATTTCCTTATGTGCCCGAAGCTCAAACCATCGAATTATGTTACATCTTAATTCTATTATCTAAATTTCAACAGTATTAAGCCTTTAACACATGAAAGTATTTAGCATCTAATTCCTCCTTACAATATCACCCCTGAATCAAACATTCAGAGCACGAGCATAAAAAAATGATTACCAACTGGATGAGCTCTTTATTGTTCAACAAATTCTCTTTGTTAGCAGCTTAGGAAATATACAGAGAACAGCACGGAGAATATGGATACTGATGTAGGGTTGATGGTTAATATCTCGTAGACAAAATTAAGCTTTTCACGACCGTTAATTAAAATACAGCCATGGATTGGCTTCCGGAGCCTGCTCGGATCATGTACATGATGTATCTTTGTTCGAATTATCGTTTTCAACAATTTAATGGATTTGTTTTCGATAACTTTTATCTAAATCCTTGCAGTCATACAGCCATGCAGGGCCTCAAGCTCAACATCTACACTCTTACGTTTTACTCTCGCCAACCAAAGTTGGTTATTGTTATTACCATGTAATCAGGCCGTTACAAACTTAAGAGTCCAAACAGCTGTGATATGGGCACATCACTTGAGCTGTTACTGTCTACCAATTTACAGTAGCTTCATTCCTCCCCCCCCCCCCCCCCATCCCCCTCTTAGAAAGATCCTCTTAATAAGGGTGTTCATCGGTAGGTGTCAATCTGCATGTTTTTACTCTGGCCGGAATAAGATTTCGTTAAGAACGAACTCGGATACCATTTGGCCAAAGGTACATAAAACATAAATCAATCCAAGCCCACTCCATTTGAAGCCTAGTCGTAACGCTAATTTTTATTCCATCCTTACCAAATAATCATTTAACTTACCTCGTCCAAAAAATTGGTCACATCATACACTTTATCGTGAATTACAATCCAACACGAAGACATGTCAGTGTGAAACGAAACTTCCATCAGCGAAAATATTTTCGATTTTGTTGGAATTATTGTCATCCTTTGACTGCTGGATATCGGGTCCATCAACCGCAGCGAAAATACTGAACTATTTTAATCTTAGGAAAGAAAAAAAAAATCAGTTAACTTTGAAAGATATAATAGTTAAGATATAAAATCAGTGCCTTCTATGTCCTTTGCGAGCGAATAATTCTACACCACTTTGATGGGGATCGCGATCTTTCGTCCTGCACGATATACACTATACACTGCGTAACTTAAAACAAATTTCCTTTCCGAGAATTTCTAAACAATACCATTCTTCGCTGGTGCTGGGTTAGATTTTAAAAATTCTGGAGTGCAGAATCGCAAAGCGACAGTCGGCTTCATATGGACCGTAGGAGAATCGGATACCATCGGTATTGCTCTATATTTTCCCTTAGCAATCATTTCCTCCTCGCAGAAGGCTTGAAGGTAAACTTCCTTCAAAATGAAAATTATTTAAAACTCTTTTGTATCGTACCTGGTAACCAGAGATGATTTCTTTGTTTCTGAGGTCCGTAACTGTACTTCGGCTTACCAACGATCTGAATGTAAAACTAGCATTTTAAACGAGAAAAGGGGTTTGAATCATATAAAAGTCTCGAAATTTCTCACAAAGCCACAAGTATGAAGTAAACTTTTCTTAATTACGTGCGAATATATTTGGTTTCGGAGTATTCACTAACAAATAACAAATAACAATGACCTGCTTTAAATAATTGAAACATCAGAAAATAGCATTATATACGAAATACAGTGACGTATTTGTAAAACGATTGATTGGTTAGATGAATTTGTCAGATTTGTGATTTGGTAAGAATCATCCCATTCAAACCAAAACAAACCAACAAGAAGTAATAAACGAATCAGACGTACGTATCATTCAAGATAAATTTAGACGACTGAAATTATTGTTCCAATCACTCAGCTACTCTGAATTGTTCAAAAGCTGGGTTAAGCATACAAAACTGATTACACAAAGTGTGAAAGTATTGTATTAAGAGTTAGGTGGCTTGAAACTAACCCACAAATTTAGCCTGAAGTGGAATTTATCTTTTTGGTCTCGGGTCAGTTGAACAGGGTTTACGATTCCTAGACCAGGCGTTTCCTTGGTAACATGTCTTTCTTCAGGTGTGGGATTAGGCGATTATGTTATTATGTGTAGTGCATGCAAATTTTCCTAAATCAAACTCTAAGATGTTCTCTCTAAGTAAATTAAAGGTGATGAAATAAGCGCGATTATGGGGGCGAAATAGTACAAAAGTTTTTAAAGATCTGGCGAGACGCCTCTGCACAAAATTAACCTTGGAAGATACTGAGTTAACAACATTTTTCTTGAGAGAGGCTTTCAGTCCAGATAAAATAACCATTGCAATGTTCAAAATAAATTTTACAGAAACTTCCATTCTGACGAGAACATTTCCGAATCATATGAATACCGAGAATATCTAAATACCAATTTATCTGCATTCGCGCGACAACCATAAGCAGGAAATTTTAGGTATGAATCGGTCTTTCACGTTACCGGCCTTGGCGATAAAATTTACCTCGTGTGAACATAACAAAGGCCCAATTCGTCTCTTTAACTGAACCACACACATTTGCACAGGTCCTTACAGTGTAATTGTGCGTTTGCGAAGATCTTTTCTTGACAGTTCCTCGAAAGTTTCCGACGGATCCTATTATCAAATCAAATGACGTCGTTATCGAACCGGAAAATTCACTAGAGCGATAGCTCACGTAAACGCTGTTTACAGTACTGAAGTGAATAAGTAAACTTTAATATTCATTTCTATCAAAATTTGTTGTTATGGACGACACCAAGAAAAAAAAGACTACGTCGTCTAAAGAACACAACTTTCTAAACGTCTGAATTTCTTTTGGAACTTAGAGCTGATATACACTCTCTAACAGACAAGTTTTATAAGTCATAATTATTCTTTATAACAATACATACCAAGAAAATGAATTTAACTCACCAAGAACTATATAACTTGAATATGAACAAAACAATTCTTGGTGATTGTTCACACTTTACCTCCACTCATTGGTCAGTTGTTTTGTTCTGTTGATAATAACCTCGTTGTCTTTGACGAATAATTCCGCAGATGGAGCAGAGTTTGTTCATATTTTGAGGTACCGCACTCATGAATGTAACAGAAACATTAGAATCTCTTCGCCAGAAATAGGAATTTTATATCAATCAGTGATTTAATACCGAAATGATGTTATGTTGTCAAATTGTAACTGACTTTTTAAAAAAGATTATTTATTAGACAGCCTTTCTTATCTTCTTAAAAATAATCCGTGAACTTATGCAACAACGGGCCGGAAATTTGGCCATAGTTGCGAAAGATTGCGTTAGATTGCCCTGTGTCCAGTATGTTCGGCGGAACAAACGGTTGCAAAACTCAAACAAAAGATGCTTGAACTCTATATCGCCATACTTATGACTCTTGGCAGAGCCACATACAATTGTAAAACAAATCTGTTTTCCCAAAGGCAATGTATTGTTTTTGGCGTTGTTTTCTCTCTCTCCAAGAACTGAATGCATAATGTAGTGTGAGGCTGTGCGGAAATTTTGCCCCGTCATCTAAGTACGATCAAAGAGTTATGTAATTCAAATCGTAGAGAGGAGTTGCGTAATGCAACACGAGGGTCGAAAAAAGCACGTCACGAAAAAGGAACTGAGTTTTTCTACACAAAAGCAGATGGTCTAAATATTAGTTTCAGTCAGGTGTCCGTCGAAAATTTAACACAAGATATAATTTTCTCTGAAACAATTCACAAGTTTAAGCTAGTTCTCGTTACTAACCTTCTTTCAAAGGTTTCGATCGAGTTTTTAAGTGTTGTGGTAACTGTAAAGCCCCTTCTCGATCAAAGCTTTGTCGTTTGCAAAATCATCAACCATGAAAACAGGAGTTTGAACTGCGCCATAGCAATTTAAAATATTAGCCAGGATAACAAAAGACCACATTGTTAGACGACGCGCTATTTATATGTATTCAAAAATGATTTTGCTGAAAGAGCGTGTTGGAGGTGTGTCAACTCCTTTACGTTGATTGGCCAGAAGAATTTTCATACAATCCAATACTGTCAAGCAAAACTTAAGGTTATTTCTCACTTTCAGAGGCCGAAAAAATTTAATTTTTCTTTTACTTGACTAAACTGAATTCAAACCTTTTGACCTAACGTTTCCATAAAAAAATTTCTGAAATCTTTAAAAGCATCCGAGTTATTTAGAAAAACTTATTTTGAAATGAAAGTTAAGAAATCAGGAAGGTGTCATGATCTCGAACCTGGGCGAATCCCCTGGGGTAATTTTCACGGCAACCGCTCATGTCGGGGCTCGATTTTCATGTTATTTACATATTTTGTTTACATCGCGCATTTTACAAAATTCACTCGTGGAAACTCTTTGTTTATGGAAAAATCTTTGCTCATAGAAAAATCAAACGCGGAGGAAAGTCTGATATAAAAAAAACAAAATAAATAAAAACAAAACAAAACAAAAAAACAAAAACCGGTCCAAACAATCGCCTCGAATCGTAATTTTGAAAGCTGTGCGTCGATTCGTTGTTTCTCTCCTTAGAACATGTCTGAAATGGGTTACTTTTCCAGGAAAATTTGGTCTATCGTCATTGACACCAGGAGGTTCCGTTGTCCTAAAGGTTTGCGAGATAATCTCCTAGCGTGGCGCGAGTTGTTTGCGAACCTATGTCAGCTAAAATCTCCGATTCGATTTTGGGAGGAATACAACTACTTCAAGCGAATTTATGGGGTATACAGATGTGACAGATTTTCCTCAAATTTCGCCAAAAAATTCCGGGAATAATGAAAAACGAAAGCGTGTCGAAAAATTTTGATATTTGAAATATTTGTCCCGTGGCCGTGGCGTCCATTTACGCAATACACATCGCATATTTTCAGCTACTCCGACTACTCATAAGCTAAGTCAAGGGTTAGTCCTTTACAGTCAGTGTCGATCCTCTTCATTCTAAAAAATTCTCGTTTTTCCTTGATTCATCTTTCCATTTTGATATTTTTAATGATGATTAGTGGTTTTGGGGAAGTTTTGCGGGTTACGAAAGGAATTTCAAATTGTCTTGTCTTTGTCTTTAATATGGCAATTGTCTTGGCATATGATTATAAATGATTATGCCATTAAACCCAAAAGTGCATTCCATTTCGTTTTTCCATTGTGATAATAGTACTTCGTCTCACGAGACTCTCTTTATGTCCTAAAAGACTACAAATTTGATGCACAATATGTAATTTTTCAAGAAACTTAACTGCAATTATGTATTCGTGGCAACTGATAACACATGCAGATACAATAAATGTGAAGGCCTGAATTTTTTTCAGGTCCTATTTACAACTACTCGTTTCAGTAGTGTTCTTAGCTGCGAGGATCTCTTAATTTCATCTCTCCACCGCAGTGCAAATATATGAATTTTCATATATCTAAAATCTTCATTCACTTGGATGTTTATTTAGACCCAATTCATTGACCAGCTCCCAGTTGGCTTGTTAGCTCAATTGGTAGAGTGCTGCACCGGTATCGCAAAGGTCATGGGTTCAAATCCCGTACGGGCCTGAATTTTTTTCAGGTCCTATTTACAACTACTCGTTTCAGTAGTGTTCTTAGCTGCGAGGATCTCTTAATTTCATCTCTCCACCGCAGTGCAAATATATGAATTTTCATATATCTAAAATCTTCATGTTTTCCAATATTCATCTGTCCATTCAGTCAGGAATTTGTTTGTTCGCGGCGTTGTAATTTGATAACCAAAGGTGTGCCTGTCCTAGTGCATGATGCATTTATCGCAATGAACCATTGCAGCAACTCAAAAGAGTACCAAGGTGGTCAGTCAGATAGTTGCCAGTTTTGAGCTCTAATCGAGTTTGACCGCCCAGTAATGTATTGTATCAAAATTAGCGGTTCTTTTGCGACTCCTGTAGATCACTAATTCGTCAGCGAAGCTTCTAAAGGACATATGGGAAGTTCTTAGTTTGGCTGTATCGCCCTCGAGGAGACTAATTTCATCGTCGTCTTCGAGCTTTTCTGGCATTGACACGATGATCTCAGGAGTAATGAGACGTGCTAAGCCAATGTTCTGCCTATTAGATCTTTTTTCTTTATTGACTCGTTCTCGTTACATTCGTTGTCGTGGTTCGCCTAAGGCCCCTAATTGGAACGTGACGAGCCCGAAAACATTTATGATTTTATGATTTTCGTTTAACGCGTTAACCTTTCTGAGTGTGTGTTTTTTGCTAACACCTGTAAATTTCTCGGCCGATAACGACAAAGTATTTTTCAAGATCCTTTCGATTAGTACAAGAAAGGACTTTTAAATATAGTTATCTAGAAGACCGACGTTGCATATCTCAGGTCGTTCCCTTGCGTAGTTGTGAAAAAGACATTTCAAGTCACTTGCGGAGATCCAGAAACTGAAGTTGATCTTATTTTGTCGCGAGCCGGGATCTTCGAGACGCCAAAAGATATCGATGATTTTACAATTTGCCCCACTCATAGATCAAATCTCGGTACCGGTGTTGGGCGGAGTCGTGGTTCCATTAGTGGATGTAGAGTGCCTAAAGAAGTGTACGGCCATGGTAAAGGTAGGGTAAAGTCGATTCCAAAAGCCTATTGGGGAATCGGCAAGCGTGTACCTCAGATAGTACGCAAAAAGTCTGCAAAATTCATACAACCTGGCTACTTACCATGCACCTTGTGCAAAATTACGCGTCCCGTCAGACCTAGGTCTCGATTGGGAATTGGTCAATTGGTCAAAAATCCAGACAGAGGGGAGTTTTATAGGGTTCCTATTGATAACAGATATGCTTTTAAGTATTCTGAAGGGATTACCCTAGTTAAATAAAGGTTTGCTACTATACTAATGTCTGAGCACTGGCGGGACGCGCAATTAACACATAGTGGTAAAGGGCCCTTCCGCACTAGCTACAAGACGCTGACAAAACTTTTTTCTCTTCACCGAAAATCACATTAAAATTTGTTCTTGCTAAACCCCTATACAAAAGAGGGCGAGGATGCGCGCCGGGAATTTCGAAAACGACCCCTATAAAATTATAGTGAGGTACCTGAGTCTTATCAGTGTGGGAGTGGTAACAACTGATGTCTACCCCTAAATAGTACCAATTTAAACACAAAAAATTGAAAAATCCAGAGGCACAAGTCAGATCTTTAAAATCGTTCTAGTAATGCTTATTTCAGCAGGATTTTTAATGAGCGAAAAACACCCTAAAAAGTACCAGCTACCAGATCACTGATTTTGGCCCCTTAAAGGTACGACAAGCATCCTCAACCATTTCCGATTTTTGGTGTTAGGGTGTTGGGCAATAACCCCCGAAAAAATGGATCATTGCCTTGATGGAAGAAAAAACATCGTGCAATTGGCAAAAGACCCCCCACCCTGCATCAAAAATCTAATGGTCCGTAGCTTCTGATATAACTGGGATAGAGGAAAACACAACGTAAAACCTGGGCTCCTGGCAAAAAGTAATACCCAAGCGTAATATAATAGCCGAAGCAGCTTAATGGTCTTATAAAATCATAAATAAACAAGGTAAGAGTGTTATGTTAGATTTTTTTGCAAATTGTAGTGATTTATGCCAGTAAACGGTGGCGACAAGTAGGCACACCATGTAGATTTCATAGTCGCTATCAAGTAAATTTTGCCGGACTTTGAGTTGTCTCACGATAGAGCAACACAAATACACAAGGAAATTTTTACAGTAACTTTATAACCATCCTTTTGTCTTTTAAAAGCTGGAAGCTCAGTAGATTCTGCCATATTGGTCATTGTTAGAACTGTCTTTGTTTTGATGCTCATTTTTTTACATAGAAAAAGTATGTCGGACAAAAATATTCACCAAAAAATAAATATATCTTTGCCAACTTCAATGATGACAGAGGATTAAGTTTAGATGATAAAACAAAGGATTATGTTGACAAAAATACCGGAGGTCTAGTAAATTCGTTACATGAGGTCACACAACTCCGGTCATATTCATGGTGAAAATTTGCATATTTGAGCGCTCGCTCAAAAAAAAAAACTACACAGCAATTATTAGGACATATTGGGCTTCAAAATATGAAAGTAGGAGTGAAAGCAAATTTTGGGTGACTTGCCACTGTTTGTCTGATGCATGTTGACATTAGCTCTTAAAAAGCTTCCACAATCTGACACGTGTCAATTAGAGAGCACGTAAGAAAAATAGCGTATGTACACTTTTAAAAAATAATGGTACTGTTTTGGTAAACAAACTCAAAATTAATGACTCACAAAAATTTTTGTTCAAAAATATTCAGTGATCTAATGGAATCTAATGATCTTTTCTAATGGAAAGTAATATTCAGTTCGGTCGATGATTAGTGTACGAAGAATACCTTTGCTTAATCAGTAAATGGCAAGGGAAGTGATTGTTAGTAAATTCAATGATAAGTTTCGAAGTTGTGGGAGTTTGCTTGTTTGTTTACTGCAATGGCGCGTGTGAATCTGGGCTCTCTTCACCAAAACACCAAAATCAAATGAGACACTTTAACTCGGACCCAATGGGAATTTAATGCGGGTTTTTCTCCCTGAATTCTGTCGGTTTTTATTGTGCAGTTTACGGTACGAATGGCCAAACTGAACAGACTTGCAAAGGCTTACCGAAAGCGTATTTGTAGTAGGACTGAAAACTTTGCTCACTGTTTTGCTACGAGAAAATTGTTTGAAAGAATTCAGATATTAAATGAATGAAAGTCACATCCATTTATTCAGTAGAAAACAAGCATCTCAAAGTTTTAACTTTCTGAATTCCTTCAGTTTTGTAAAGGATTCAAGTTAATTGCAGACTTTTTTAGGCCGCGTGTTAATCCATTTAATGATACATTTGCTTCTACAAATTCAATT